TCGATCTTTCCATCCGATTTGCTTCTTTTCTTTGCCATTTCACCGCCATCATCATCAGCATGATTTATATTAGTATTTAGATTATTGTGCCAAACTGGTTTATAAACATAATTAGGATACGTTAATTTATGTTTAACATTAGCTGCCATACTTAATATTTGAAAAAATTGTTTTACTTCAGAAGATTGAGAATTCCAAATGTTTGCAATCAATTTGGATTTTTCTCGATTATTCAAATTCGTCATTTGGGATTCTGCTTTAAGTTTGGCATTATAATCAGTTCTAAAAAGAATGAATGGATTTTGAGGTCTAGGTGAATTACTATTACTATTACTTCACTTAATTATTATATCATTAAATTATTATTATTATTAACTAATTAAATATATTATGCTCAAGAAAAATCCAACAAAAAATAAAAATTCATCAAAGCGTGCTCGTAGTAATAGTACTGGTAATACTGGTTCTAATGCTGGTGCTGGTGCTGGTGCTAGTTCAGGTAGTATTAGTAGTATCAGTACTTTTACATTTGTGATGCCATTAAATGAATTCATTTCAACAGAAAACAATGATGGCCACAACGGCCACAACGGTAACAACGGCAACAACAACACTTCATTTCCAATCACCATTCATTCATATTCATCATCATCGCCATCGTCATCGTCGTCATCATCATCATCGACACGTAATGAAGAATGTCAATCGAATTTAGAAAGATTATTGAAAAGACTAACCACCAATCCACCTTATAAATTGACGTTGCCAATTGACGAACTAATTAAACCAAAGTTATTACGAACTAATAATAACAATAGGGTTGTTAGAAAATATAAAAGAAACAATAGAAATAACAAAAACAACAACGTTAATAATGGCAATAATAATAATGCCACCAACATTAATAATAATAACGATAGTAATATTAATAATAACAAAAATAACAGTAATAATAGTAATAGTAATAGTAATTCACCTAGACCTCAAAATCCATTCATTCTTTTTAGAACTG